ATTTTAACCAAGTTGCTAAATAGGTTTATTTAACACGCGAGGGCCACTAGTCATACTCACAAGGGGTAGCTCTATTTTTCGGTTAGCATTAATTATCATGGGACGACCCCACTCAGCAAGGGCACAAATCCTGCCCCTTCCTGGCCGCGACATGGCAAGCCGCACGAGGGCCGGCGCCGGTGGCCATGGCAACGACAAAAGGACTGCGGCACCGTGGGAGCACGCGAGCGGCAGAGGCGGGCACACGTGCGTGTGGACGCGGGGAGGGCGCGGCCGACCCACGGGTTGGGCGCCAGTGGGCATGTGCAAGACGGCAGCAGCGGGGAGGCACGACAGCGGGAGGTCCTGGCATCAGCGCGGGCAGGGGCAAGCGGATGCGGGTGCGGGTGCAGCCAGGCGCGGCGAGGCGACGGGAAGGCACGCGCGGGGCACCGACGAGGGCGAGCAGTAGACGGCTGCGGTATGGCGGACCGGCGAAGCGACTATAGCAGGTGAGGGCGGTGGGGCGAGGCGGGGTGAGCACGAGCGGACAGAGACTAGGGGGAAGCCGGTCGTGCGGACGGCAAAGGCCGCGGCCAAGCGCGGTGACTACAAGCTTGCCGGAAGCTCTGGCGTAGTGGTGTTGCGGCTTACGGCGGGGAAACAGAACGGGGAAGAGGTGGATCCAACGCAGGGCTTGGAGCGGAGCTTGCTGAAGACTCGATGAGGCCGGGGCTCGTCGGAGAGGCACGGGTCCACGCCGGGAAGCGGTGACCAACGTCGGGGAAGAAGGGTTACAATCGTCGTCCCTGAGGCTTCCGGTCCATTCCAGTGCACGTACTTGATGAAGGTGACTATGACGAAGCTTGGGGACACAAACCGGTGGAGCACCTCAGCGGCTGGCCGTGTATGCAGGGTATGGAGACGACCAGGAGCTCGGTTGCGAGCTCGATTTGAGAGAGAGAGAGAGAGAGAGAGAGAGAGAGAGAGAGGCGTGAGGGGAGAAGCGAGGGCTTACGATTTAGGGGCCGCGGGGCATGTCTTTTAGACTAGCCACAATGGAGAGTAACATACACTAGTAACATACACGTATCCCTAGACTATGTTACTACTTTCATAGTGGGTAGTAACTTAAGTGTGGTAACATGCAAGGATTCATTTATTAGGTTATAGACTCATATTGCATTGGGACATGTGATGTTACAGCAACTAGCTAAGTTACTACAACTACCTCTCTCCTCATTAACTCATTGCCACATAAGCCAATTTGCTGAGTTGGACTCGATGTTACTGCTGAAGTTACTCCCACTGTGGCTAGTCTTAGGCGTCGGGGAGGTCGGGTATGGCCGCCACGCACAGCATGGCGCAGCCATGGCTGGCGGATGAACGCCACAATCCCCTCTGCCCCTGTAGCGAGGAGGAAGGCGAACGGGGGATGTGGACTGGGCCTTTCCAATCCGCATGGGCCTTTCCTTCCCCTTTTCTGCTTTCATCTTTGTTTTCTCTTTTTTTAGGAAAGTCCATCATAGCTAGCTTTATTAAAATTAAACAATGTTTACATCGTCTACGAGCTTACTGACAACACAGTCAGGAGGCTCGTCCAACCAACTGAAAGAAGATTTATTACAGAAATAAAAATTAGCTAGCGCATGAGCTGCTTGATTACAAGAACGGTAACAATACTTAAAAATGACCTTCCCAATCAAGGAACTAGTATCCACATATTCCGGGAAGATTGCCACCACTGAGTCCCGTCATCTAGTTTGACCATTACAAAAATTAATAACCTGTAGGGAGTTTGATTCCACTTCCAACCAATTGAATCCAAGAGAATTAGCAAAAACTAGACCGTCTCTCATTGCCAAAGCTTCTATACTGATCACATCTGCAGCGAAAGGGATAAATTTGCATTGTGCCGCCACAAAGTTTCCTCTAACATCTCGTAGTATGGCCGATGTAGCCCCAACACCTTCATCGGAATAAAAAGCTACATCAACATTCAATTTATTAAATTGAGGGTCTGGCTTACTCCATTTTGCTTCAGGGAAGCTAGGGGTGAGCAATGACACCCTCTGATGATTGCTCGCAATGGATAGCACTGATAATGCCCACCTCCACTGTGGTGGAACCGATTCATTATCTGTTATTTGTCTTCTGATCCACCATAGGTACCAACCTCCCACGGCTATAACCCGTTTGAAGTTCAAAAATGGATGTATAGCTACTTGTTGATCCGGTGGTGAGAGTATATATTCAAAGATGACCGAACCTGACCTGTCAACATGTATCGCTTGGTTAGTGATATGAGTTAACCCAAGATGGGACCACAAGGATCGTGCATTAGTGCACAAGAATAGCAGATGTCGGATGTCCTCGGCGCCTTGATGACAGATGGGGCATGCACCATTTGAACCAACATGCCTATTAGTAAGGATAGCACGAAATAATTCCTCGCAAAATTCTCCAACCAAAAATCTGAACTTTACGTGGACATTGCAGCTTCCAAAGGGTACTCCATACAGTCAAAGGGGTGGATCCACTTGGTAAATTAGATGATACCCCGCACGTTGTTGCGAGAATATTTTATAACATATCTCAATGTGATTCATTGTAAACATATATAAAAGGATAAAACTGAAACTACATATACTTTATTATGTTTGATCACTATATAGTTGTAAAATGTTTATTAAATATAAATAGACTAATAGAATAGAAATTCGCATGTTGAGATATGTCTTTTTTCATGCAGGTTTCATGATGAAGTGGCATGCTTGCATGTTGCGAGACATATGATAGTGAGTGTGGGGCTTTTTTTCGTGCATGTTATGCGTTGATGTGGCATACTTGCATGTTGAGAGGAATAGTTAGTGGGGGCTAGCTATTTAGATATAGAAGATAACTATTAAATGAATTTTGTTATTTACGAAAGTTGGTAAATAAATACTATGCAATATATTGAAGAGGCCCACAAAGTTCGAGGTCAATTTGGATTGTATAAATAATTTTTATTTCGAAAAGGCCATTTTATTTGTTGTTGGACCACCTATTAACTTCCTAGGAATTTAGTTGTGACTCAAATGAAGTTGGGTTCAACATGACAATGGTCAGGAGAATCTATAGAATAATGCGAACATTTTAGTTTTACTGTCAAAGAAACAATAATTTTACTTGAAATTTAAATTTGAATTATCTTTGATTTTGGGTAAGTGGCAATTTGCATAATAATCATGATGACATGGCCATCATTAGGGGGAGATTATTGTAGCATGATTCCCGGGGTATTACATTGTCGCTTCCCCAACCGCTATCTGCCCCCTCCACTCCCTTCTTTGTCCCAATGTCGAGGACAGGCAGTGGTGCTGGCGCCGAGTCTGGCAGCAAGGACGATCCCATCAATTGGGACGCCCCCATGTGCGAAGCAGAGGTGGGCGACGACGAGCAGCTACCTCCTGCCCCCTCCCTCCTCCCCCGCAACATCTTGGGCTATGCTTCGTCCCTTGTCGCTCAACGTCGCAGCGCGGACACCGTCTCCTGCCCATCCTGCACCGCGCGCAGGTTTGCGCGCTCGGTCCACCCCGCTCCGCTCAGCCGACAACCTCCTATCCCACCGGCAGCTGCTCCTCAAGGGCATCATTGGGTGCTCATGCCCGCGCCACAGACGCCTGAATCGGAGGCGTGTGTCGCCCGCTGCGAGAGGAAGGGAGCTAGGGAGAGGCCACGATGCTGGAGGTGGTCGCGCCTTCCTCCCTCCATCGGCGCATATTGTCGGCGGCGTCCGATGCGGAGGAGCAACTCCTCGCGGATGTGCTCCATCGCTTGCTGACAACATAGAGACGGTCGCTGCCTCTGTCGGAAGAACGCCAAGGTGTCCCGGCTCGGCATCTAGCAATCGAAGCGCGAGCCAAAGGAGAAGGCAGCGGCGGCAGTGAAAGCCGCCCGGCTGGCGAAGCAGCAAAACCGGGCCACCCATAGGATGGTCGGCTTCATCTCGTCCTCCTACGACGACTCCGACATCACGAATGGCTCATGCTCGGGGTTCGATGACCCCCTTCCGCTGTTGACGCCTACATGAAGGGCTACAACCGCTCTACCACAAAGGCAAAGGACCGGCGAGGAAGTGCTGAATTCCTCGGCCCTCTCTATCTTTGTTTTGCGTATCTAGTAATTTTAGTTTAAATCTCTGTCCATTTGCCGGCTGAACTATGATGTTTAAACTGTGTATTTTGATGTGAATTAACTACCGGCTTGTTCTATGTCCATTTATTCTATGTTCCAGAATTTCTTTGATGATCTATACGATTTATTTTAGGTTGCATCGATAGTATGGATTTTTTTTGTGGGTTCATAGTGTAGATTTAGGTGACATGAGATGCACGGCTGCGGTCATGAGTGTTTGATGCCCTGTTTGGTTACAGAGACTAGACTAGAAAAATTCTTTTTTAATCACTGTGTAACCAAACAGGAGGGACTCTTAAGGGACTAGAAAAAAATTATTGGAGGGTCTTTTTTCTTTAATCCCTTGGACCAAAAAAAGTTCAGTCCTTTGCAACCAAACACACCCGGTCGTTTACGCGGACATATAGAGGCCGGAATAGCTTGCTGTAGATGCTCCACTTAAAGTGTACGGCTACTTAGATGACAATACTTATAACATATTTAGATGTGCATTAGAAAAAGCGACATTCTATCGCCGGATGACACGATTAAGAACCCACTTGGAGTGCATCAAAGTACGGCTGCATTTCCAATCTTTTTTAGACAAACAAAGCTAGTACTAGTACATAACTGCTCGCCTGCCATACGGCTTTGTGCATCTCCATACATCGCCCTATCCTCCGTCTTGAGAATGACCGAAAGAGAGAGACATCCGGACACGATAAGCATCGCATCAATCACTTCGCTTCAGCTTTTGATCCTCTTATCCTTCCATGGGCAGGGTAGTCAGAATCTCCCGCGGCATTAATACACTCACGACAGTAACTAATAACCGGAACAAACGTGCAGCCGCAGTAACAATTTCAGGTACTACCGCGTGCAATCCGCCGCACGAACTCCATCAGGCTCCGGTCCGAGCCGCCGCCGTCGGCCACGGCCACCCTCGCCTCCTCCTTCCACGACGCGGCGCGCGACGTCACCGCCTCCGACGTAGCGATCTCCACGCACCTCCTCAGCTCCCCGGTCTCCAGGACGCCGTCCTCCGCGCGCGCCGCGGCGCGGACACCCACGCCCAGCGCCCGCTCCACGAGCCACGCGTTCGTCCCCTGGTCCGAGTACTGCGGCGCCGCAACTATGGGCACGCCGCAGGCCACGCTCTCCAGCGTCGAGTTCCACCCGCAGTGCGTCACGAAGCACCCCACGGACGGATGCGAGAGCACACGCGCCTGGTCGCACCACTCCACCACCATGCCGCCGCCGGCGTCGTCGTCGTACGTGGCCGCCGACGCCGTTGCGAGGAGTCCCTTGATCGCGTCGCCTTCGTCCTTGTCCCTGCAGTTGTCTTTCCGTAGCACCCACAGGAACGGCCTGTTGGACTGGCTCATGGCCTCCGCTATCTCGGCGACCTGCGTCTTGCTCATCACCGACGTGCTCCCGAAGGAGATGTACACCACCGACTTGGCCGGCTTCGTATCCAGCCAGTGGAGGTAGCCTTCGCCGTCGTGGTCGAACAGGTCGTTTGGACTGTTGCCGTCGTGGCCGTCGTGCAGGAACGAGAGCACGGGACCGACGGTTACCACTTCGACGTGAGGCCTCAGCGAAGCCAGCGCGTCAGGCTCCATGGCGTCGAACGTGTTGGCGACGACGTACGTCGGGGGCTTCTCGGAGTCGCCGTCGAGCGCGTCGATGAGCTCGCGGAACTCCGGGATCAGGCAGGCAAAGGGGTCGTCGTCCGAGGTGACGGCGAGGAAGGACGGCAGGTCCCGGAACCGGAGCGGCGGGAGGCCCGGGATACACACCTCGGCATTCGGGTCACGCGACGCGGCGGCTACCATGACGGCCTCCCGGCTCCCTCGAAAGTAGTGGTAGTACGCGGCGAGCGCGGTGACCGGCTGGATCCAGAACACCGCGACGACCGCCACGCCGTACGCCCGCGCAACGCCGGCCACCCACGGCATGAGCAGCGTGTACACTGCGCAGGTGACGGGGTGCCCGCGATCGCCGAGGCGCCGGAGCAGCCCGGACAGCGTGCGCGCTCCCTCCAGCCTCACCTGCGACATGTAGTGCGCGTAGTCGCCCGCGGTGCGGTCGAACCCACCGTCGTAGCCGTCGGAGTAAGCGGCGTATGCGACCCCGCCCTCTTCCCTTATCTCGTCGCCGCCCACCGCGCTTGTTGCGTCAGCGAACATCTTCCGAAAGGCCGAGACAGGGGTGCATATGGTGACGCGCGCACCGCCGGCGCCGGCAGCCGCGCGCACGAGACGGCGCGCGAGGTGACGCGCCGGGGTGATGTGCCCCTGCGCCGGGTACGTCACGATCAGGAAGTGAGGCTGGCTCTCCTCATCCGCGGCACGCTTGTCTTCCTGCAGCTCCATTGGCGGTAATAACTGGAGCGAGCTTCGGACGCGCGCTTTGACACGAGGAATAGGAGTGGAAGTGGGAGCGACGAAAAATGATTTTTCTACTAGTACCGGTACCGGTACGGCCGTACCTGGTGACGAAGCATATCAACTTTGGCTAGACGCGAGTCGTTTTTCGTCTCAGGCGGCCGACTAACGCACCACTAACGCACGACACCGAATGGTCGTCCGTGTCCGTTTGGGTAAACGGACAAAACAAGCCATCCAACGCGCGGTCGTAGACAGACTGTCAACCATTTTTTATCCGCTTTCAACCCATTATCGGTTTAATTTTGGACCGAGTTTGCGGTCGAACGGACACGCGCGGATGCGAGCCACACGTGCCCTTATTCTGTCCTGGCCCGCCCGTCAGGGAC